GAGATGCATCTGTGAAGGTGTGGTTGGCCTTCCTGACTGCAACCCCACACTGTTGGCCCACGTTCATCTTGGCATCAATGATGACTCCAAGATCCTTTTCTGCCTCTATACTGATGAGAAGGGAGTTCCCCAGCCTGTAGGTGTGGTACCAGTTGTTCCTCCCCAGGTGCATCACTTTGTACTTGTCAGTGTTGAATCCCATCCTGTTCTCATCCGTCCACCCCTGTAACCTGTCTAGGTCCAATTGCAGCCACCACGTACATGTGATGGGACCCGGATACTTCTCCCAACGTGTCACTAAACGTTCCTGTCCACATTCCTTCCTACCATCTTCATCTCTGCTCACCACAGATTCTGGCTTTGCTGTCTTTACTTTGAGACCTGTGCTCTCAAGCTCACCCTGCCATTCTCAGAAGTTTTCTTCTCCTCCTCCTAAAATCCCCCAACATCTCTCATGCCCATCACTGTGATAAAGTGGAGTGGGCTTGGTGCAGGGCACAGTTAAAACCAGTTGTCAATTCCAGAAGCTCCTCCTACAGGGGCTTGTTCTGGGTTGTGTGCAGGCTTGGGGCACTTACATTTTACTAGGTCCATTGGCTTTTTTGGTGCTTTCTTTTCCCTCCATTTTCCCCTAAAGACTTCCTTAGGGAAATGCCCAAATGCTTTTTCTAGCTCAGCACAGACCATCTAGAGCTTTTTGGTCTTTTCTGTAATTATCTTGGAAATGTCAGGGGATTTCCCCCCTCTTCTAAAAACCTGCTCATTATCACTCATGTTGGTGGTCCTCTTGAGTCTGGCTGCAATAACTTTTTCCTTACTTTTTTTCAAGCAGTGGCTAAGTCACTGTTCTCCAGTCATTGCAACGTTGGTATTTACTACCTCTCTCTCTCAAGAGATGTGATCTTATATTAGTGATCTTTCAGCCCCAATGTCTTATCTTGTTCATTTCCTGGATGAAATGCAGTAATTCCCATACTGTTACTCTCCTAATGTTTCACGATCTTCCACAGAGTAGGTATACAACTCTCCTGTTCACCCATTTTTTTCAGGTAACTCCTCCTCCTCTGCTTTACTCTGCATGGTACCCAGGAAATCCAACTCGAGTTTACAGTGTCAGTGGATGTAAATGCCTTTTGGGTTATTCTCCTTGAAGTCACTTCTCCAAATATGCCTTTCAGGCATGAGAGACCTCTTGGAGACCATGGGTTAATCCTCTTTTCTAGCACTAACAGCAATGGCTTCAGCATCCAAGTCGTCTGTTTATACACATTGGCTTCATCCTGCTCAGCAATTGTCTGCCCATTTGCTCTATGATTCAGTTTTGCATTCGGGTAATTCAGTGCTACTTCTCTGACTGCTCCCCTTTATACAGTTCTTGTTTTTTCTGCATAAAATACAGTCAAAATCCGGCTCTCCCACTTCTGGAGGACTTCTCTTTCCTTAAATGCCTCATGAAACCTAGATATTCCTCCTTAAGGTTGGCCCCCTGGTTTTCCTGATGTGACGGGGTTTCACCTAACACTACTTCAGCAGCCAGAAGTGCAAACTCTTTCCCTGCATCCCCAAGTGTATCTGTGCCCAGTTCTTTACTGCTATAAGTAGGGACCTACCGAAAGTACAGATTACATGGCTGTAACACAGCCGAGGCCCCCGATTTCCTGGGGGGGTGTCACGGCCAGGGCTGCTATATTGAAGGTGGAGCACAGTGAACCCCACTACACTTCTGATTGGTTGAGGGGTGCTGCGAGTCCCACCCCTTCCCAGGCATTGATTGAAAGCCCTAGCTGGAGCTGCCTGGCTCATTAATTCAGTAATTATCACCCTCTTCCAGTACGGAGGGTGATAATTTATTAAAGAGGAAAACCAACACTATAACAACCCCAGTGATTTGAACTTTATTAAATCAGCGCTTAAACGATGCACAGAAAGACCTTAGGAAAATAAACCGGTCATCTGCCCCCAATCCTGCCCTTCAGGAGAAGGGGACTTTTGGTGGGATGCTCCTGCTCCCCCCCACATACACTTCTGGACACGGGGAACTTTTTCCCCTCTCATCTCTCCCTTCAAGAGACTCACTGTCTTGGGGGATTATTTTTCTTTGCTCCCCCCTTCTTGGACACAGCTTTTTGTCAGCTCTTTGCTGGTTTTTGAACTCAGCCGGTTCCCTGCACTTTTTCATGGGGAACAGACTGTTTCACTGGAGACTGCCAATTATACGATTTCCACAGAATCCATGAAATTGTGTATTTGGTAGATCCCTAACTATACTATGACTGTTGGCTGAGTTTGCTACAATAGCTAAGGGATTCAAGGGGAAGCTAATGTCATGTCTCCCCCAGTTCTCTCTCTCTTAAATCTTTCAGAGTAGTGTAGCCCAAAGTGCTCATGTAGGATGCTGTTTTGGACCACGCGGCTCTCACAAGACATGACACTGTCGCTGTGGTTTTGTCTCTGTTTCCAGTCACTGGTTTACTGGTTTTGAATGCAGTACCTGCCAACCTGTGTGCTCATCTCTGCCCTGGGATCATCCTCCCACTGGGTGGGAGGGTTGCTTTAGTTGCAACTAGTTATTATAAAATCATCCTTTCCTCTGCCCTCGTGATGAGGAATAATCCTGTCTCCAAGCAAAAGGTTTATTGTCAGCCATCTGCCACAGATCCCTTCCCCTGCTGGCATGGGGGTGGCCAGACCGGGGTAGCGGGGAACTTGCACTAGGCAGCGGCTGTGGGTGGTGACAGCAGTTGCACGTGTGGCTCCGCAGGCTGCTGACGGGCGACACGTGATTGGCTGGGTGCAAGGCCCATCAGCAGCCCTCGAACCAGACCCCACCCCCCTCCCTGGGCCTGCTCCTGGCAAGTGGGGGCATGGGGTGGTGGGTGATGTCGCTCCATCCCTGCCTGCCCTCATGTACCCCCAGCACCTTTCTGCGTACCCCCAGCTGACAATCCCTGGCTTATGCTATAATGTGTCCAGGCAGGTGTTGTTCGACTCCCTGAAACTCAAAGCTGCAGAGACAAACAGCTGTTCCCTTTAGGTGTTAGGGGACAATTGAGCTTGCTGTCTTCCTTTTTAGGCTTAGATCTGGTTTTCTTGGGACACCATGACCTTAAATTTCCATCTTCACTCCCCATTGTAGGAGTTGATTCCCCAGCCCAAGCAGCCATATCTCTCTAACACCTCCCCCAGGGCATGATGGGATTTGTAGTCCCCCGTGGAAATCCACATGGCATGCAGAAGAAGCTCTGTGTAGCCCTGGCTCTTGGATGAGAAGGAGGCTGGGGCTGTCCCTGGTGTCGCCTGGTCTGGTTGACCTGGAGCACCAGACGTGTGTAATCCTGGTCTCAGGCTGCATGAAGTGGCTGCATGCGGTGGGTGGGATTCCGAAGATTTCATGCTTGCATCGTAATCTCCCCTTTTCAGTTTCTGCTCTGGGGCCCGAGTGTCACAGCCTGAGGCTCAGCCCAGAGTCCACGTGCAGGTTCGTGTCAAGGCCTTTGTCCCAGTGCAGATTCCTGTGATGTGCAGGCCCCCTGGGACTCATCAGCAGATAAAATCTCCATGGGCTCATTCCCTGCACCTGATATTGCCCCGGAAACAGGTCGGAAGCACCGTGCTGCTCCTTCCAGAAGGGAGACCACAGCTTTCAATCGTCCACTCCCAGAACATTTCTTGGAAGAATGAGGATTCAAACGTGTTGGCTTTTCCTACCAAGCAGAAGCAGCATTTGTGTCTGCCATGAAGCACCTGGTGCAGTGTATAGCAGTGCTCGCCACACACTCCTGACTACTGACAAGCCCCAGAAATGCACCCCGAGGCTGTTCACCCTTGTACCCAGAAGCTGCTTTCAGGACTGCCAGAGATCAAGGGGGAGCATTGCAGATGGGTCTCACCAAAGCATTGGGGCTTGTGGAGCGTGTCAGCCCAGTCAGGTGGAGGGCTCAGCACCATCTCCTCCTGGGCCCACCAGCGCTGTGGGATACAGAAGCCCTCTGAGAGTCACAATTTTTCTTTTACCAGATCCTTCTGGTCTCATCCTCAGCCTGTTAGAGCATGAAGCCATTCATGTACTAGCCAAACACACATGTCCCATGTGTTTCTTGCAGCAGGGCCTGAGGTGATGGGGTTGAGAGCTGGACCAGAAACCCTGAGAGTCTGCCTGTTAACTCCACCGAGTAGGGAAGATGAGGCAGCAGCCACACTGGTGCATGAAGTGTGGGAAGAGCTTCAGGCAGCCCTCCAGCCTGGCCAGGCACAGGTGCATGCACACAAGGAAGAAGATACATCATTGCTCTGTGTGTGAGAAGAGCTTCATCTCTTCCAAGCTGGCCCAACGCCAGGTTATCCACACAGGGGAGAAGCTGCATCAGTGGTCTGAGTGTGGCAAGAGCTTCACCTCCTTGACCCTGGTCAAAGGTCAGCTCATCCACACAGGGGAGAAGTTACATCAGTGCTTGGAGTGTGGGAAGAGCTTCCCTCAATTCTCTGACCTTGCCCAGCACCAGTGCATCCACATGGGGGAAGCCACGTCAGTGCTCTGAGTGTGGGAAGAGCTTCACGTGCTCCTCCCACCTGGCTGACCACCAGTGCACCCATAGAGGAGAGAAGCCACATCCGTGCTCTGTCTATGGGAAGAGCTTTTTACATTCCTCCTCCTGGTCTGGCACCAGCGCATCCACACAGGGGAGAAGCCACATCAGTGCTTTGAGTGTGGGAAGAGCTTCACGTACTCCTCTGACCTGGCCCGGCAACAGGTTACCCACACACGGGAGAAGTCACATCAGTGCTCTGCGTGGGAAGAGCTTCATCTTGTCCTCCACCCTGGCTGAGCACCAGTGTATCCACAAAAGGGCAAAGCCACATCGGTGCTCTGAACGTGGGATGAGCTTCACCTACTTCTACCTGGCCCAGCACCAGATCTTCCACATGGGTTAAAAACACATTAGTTCTCTAAGTGTGGGAAAAGCTTCACCTGGTCCTCCGACCTGGCCCAGTATCAGTGCATCTACATCCAGAAGCATCCATAATTTTGCCAGCAGTGCAGGAAGTTCTTAGGGATTTCTACCTGCTCAGCACCCACCAGCGGTTGCATTCAGGCAAGTACCCTCATGCTGGTGGACTGAAGAAAGGCTTTGTCCCTTGTGGGGCACTGCAGATGCCCAGGTCCCAGAGGCTGGACCCCAAAGTTTGATTGTGGGGAGGGGCTAAGAGGAAACACCACAAGCAAAGATCAGCTGGGGGAAAATGAGGAAGCGAATGATGCTGGGGGAAAACGAGGAAGAGATGATTTTTGCATCCGCTTTGGAACCTGTGTATTCCCCATCATTCTCTAAAAGCGCTCAGTGCCCCCAAAAAGGTGCCTGCATGATAGGGTGCTCTCCCCAAGACAGCTGACTTCAAATTACACCCAGGGACTGTCTTTGGCTGCCTCCAAGCTTTGCCCTCCCTCCTGGTCCCAGGGTTCTGGTATATGATGCTCATGAATTACAGGAAGGACATTTATGGCTGGGGGAGCATTTCTTGCCCTCCACCCTGATCTCACCACCCCATCACCCCTCTCCCAGACCCACCCATGCCCAGTGGGGTCTGCAAGGAGCTGCTACTATCACAGCCTGGGTACATCTACATGTTGCCATATGGTGAAGCTGCTGTGGCACTCTGTTTTAGTACTTTCTTTTGGAAGTACTAAAACACGGCACAGTGTGGGCTGTTACTGTGCCATGTGGGTGGTGCATGCTTAGGTTTTGCAGCTATGTCCCCATAGCAGCATGCTGCAGCTGGGGAGCACACAGCTATGGTGATGTAGCTGGCAATCACATGTACACACACATGTAGACACATGCACACTGTATGGCAATGTAGCGTGTCACTATGTCAATGCAGGGTCATATGTAGATGTACCATATGAGACTTTTTAGCCTGTTTTGCTTTTCAACCTCTCCAGAACCATGCACCATAGGGTGCCTGCTGCTCCTCTATGCTCCCTCCCTTTGTTGCACTTTCTGTAATTCATTCCGATATTAAGCCCCCCAAATTGAACATGGTACCCTGTGGTTGGTCTCTGCGTCCTATCCAGAGCTGTGCAAAAGGAACAGACCAAGGCCCACAACCCTTTCCAGGGAAGATCCCTCTGTGACTTCCCAGCCCTTCTCTTTCTAGAGACTTCACCATAATGCAGGGCTTGTTTCTAACCCTCAGGACCACGAGTTGGTCTCACTCCCCTGTCCTCCTCTGCAGCAAGGACCTGCCTTTTTGAAGCAACCTCTGGGCAGAAGGCAGTAGAGTCCCTGTTCGGAGATCACTGGGGAGCAGGGGTGAAGGAAATGCAGCCGGTGGCAAGTCCTGCCTCTCCTGTGGAAGGGTGAGGAAAGTGTGAAGACATCGTCTTGGTGAAATGCAGCACAATGTAATCTCTCTTTGGGAATACTGAGGTCTTCCTCCTAGTGCCACAGCCATTTGGCTCCATGATGGCCCTGGGGACATACATACTGCCACACAGCTTCCCTGGGGACCCCTGCTACCCTCAGGGAACCTGCCCTTCCCAGGGAGAGTGCAGCCCCACCACTGCTACTGCCAGGGAGGAAGGAGTGCAGGAAGGGATGCTTTCCACCTCCCAGAGAGCCCCTGAGCCATTCCCGCATGCAGAAGCTGGGGAGCATGTTCAGAGATAGCTGGGCTGGAACCTGGGGCCTCCCACTGAGATAGGCGCCTGGGGCTGCCCTCAGCCCAGGCAGCAAGCAGGGGTCAGGCATAAGCCAAGGACCCCAGCCCCACATGCTGAGGGGCAGGGGTCAGAAACAGCAGCCCACCAAGCACAGTCTTTGAACCAAAGACAGATGCAGGACTCTGCTCCTCTGGAACCAGAGCAGGACACGAGACCTGAGCAGGCCCTGGCCACGAGCAGAGGCAGCAGTGGGGAGCAAGGTCTTTGGCAGAGGGGCTGGAACAGGGCAGGGGGAGCCTGCTCAAGGGCCTGGTGTTGCTGCCACTGCCTGTGGGGAAGTGAGTACCCCACATGTTGCCATCACTGGTGGCCTTGGCCTCACTTTTTGGGCCCTGAGGGCTGTGGCCTTTCAGTCTCTTGCTGGATGGAGAGAATAGGAGGGTGCTGGGGCTGAGGGCTCAGGGAGACTGGAGAGCAACAGGAGTGGTGCAGTGGCTAGGGGAAGCCCTCCCCTCTTCCTCCCCATGGATGGGGCTTGTCTCTTTGGAGGTACATCCCTGCTGCTTCTGCTCTGTGCTCTCCCTCCAAGTCCTTCACAACCCCCTCTGTCCTCTGGGACATCGTCTCTATGGGCGTCCTTGTTCCTGCCACATGGCCATAGTACCATAGAATCATAGAAACATAGAAGTCGGGTTGAAGGGACCTTGTAGATCTTCAAGTCTGACCCCCCACCTGGGCGGGAGAAAAGACTGGACTCAAATGAGTCCAGCCAGGTAGTCATCAAGCCTCTTCTTAAAGATCCCCAGGGTAGGAGCCAGCACCACTTCCCTAGGAAGTTGGTTCCAGCTCCTAGCCGCCCTAACTGTGAAGTAGTTCTTGCGGATGTCTGATCTAAACCTCCTCTCTAATAACTTGTGTCCATTGTTCCTTGTCATGCCAGCGTGAGCAGTATCTGGTTGCACACAATTCATTGCAGTTTCAGTCACAAGCTCAAATGTGTGTGCACCCAGGAGGAATCCCAGCACATCTCAGTCCTGGAGCTCAGAGGACAGGACACCTCGGGGATGGGAACAGCTGGTGCTGTGTTACCATTGAACCATCCTGCTCAAGACATCAGACGGCCCCTTGGCAGTAAATACTAATGACCCATATCTGGTGTGCAGAACTTTGCAAATGCATTTTCAGTTTGCAAATTTCCTCTAAAAATCTTCTAACAGAAATGTGAATAGGGAAAGCTCCTGGTAAAAAACAAGTTTCAAGTTTCCCAAAAAAGGGAGGGGGGCAGGGGGAGGGGTCATTGGTTTCAAAGCAAAAATTTTGACACCAGCAACACAACATTGCAGTGAAAAACTAAACTGCAAAAAACAAACCACCCAAGTGAATATATTACACTAAATGTTTTGCTTTCATTCCATATTATGGAAACTATTGCAGCTTTTAGCTTAAGGTCAAAGCTTTTTTTTTTTTTTATGCTACCTCTTTCTCCAGCACAGAAAGGGGCAGCCAGGAGCTGTAAATAGTCCTTCCTAACAAGGTAGGTGTTTAGGAGAGAGCTAGACTGGGGTTTTCCTCAAGGGGGAGAGTCTGTTTTCATGCTGATACTTGACTTTGTGAACTTGTTTTACTCCCTCTCTTGGTCTCTCTTCTACATTTTGTGATTTGATGATCAGCTACTCTGAGCCCTTGTTGGAACAAAGGCATATAGGCAGAATGGATGAATGAGGATGTGACAAGGCCACACAGGGAGTCACCGGGAGGGTGCAGTGGGAGATTGCTGGCCTGAAACCTTCCTTCTCAAACTTCTTTAATCACAGCTGCTTCTGCATCACGGCCCCCCACATATGCCGCTTGGGGTTTGGATGTGGGATGCCTGCCATGGATGCAAGAGTATTTGAGGCCCCAGGCTGAAGAGTCTGGGAGGGAAGAAACTTGCTGAGGTATTGGCACACAGACTTGTGTGACTGAGCTGTGCTCTGTCGATAGACTTGGGAACTGGTTTGGCTGATTTGGCCCAAGACCAGGGCATTTAAAAATAATAATTACCTGAAGGGGGCTCCAAGGATGATGGAGCTACATTGTTTGCAGTGGTGGCTGATGACAGAACAAGGAGCAATGGGCTCAAGTTGCAGCAGGGTTCTCATGAGGAGGGTGGTTTCATAGCTTCATAGTAGTTAGGGGTCAGAAGGGACCTGAACAGATCATCTTGTCTAACCCCACCACCACTGGTTGGAGCACATGCTGGGATCACACGACTCCAGAAAGGTATTCATCCAACCTCTTTTTGAATTTACCCAAGGTAGGAGCGAGGACCACTTCCCTAGGAAGTCTGTTCTAAATCCTAGCTATCCTGACACGGAGGTGGAAAAGGATCTGGGAGTCATTATTGACTCCAAGATGAACATGAGTCGGCAATGTGGGGAGGCGGCTAGGAAGGCCAACTGCACCCTGTCGTGCATCCACACATGTATCTCAAGCAGGTCCAAGGAGGTGATCCTCCCCCTCTATGCGGCACTGGTCAGGCCGCAGTTGGAGTACTGCGTCCAGTTCTGGGCGCTGCACTTTAAGAGGGATGTGGACAGCATCGAGAGGGTCCAGAGGA